GTGACTAGTCGACTATCAAAATAATCGTTTGTGGCAGCCCTACTATATATATAACAAACAGGTCCAGAGCGTGATCGTGCACCCACGCAAACCATCGCCATCATTTGAAATCAGTTGTGTATTTGCAGAGTCAACCTCCTGCTGCAGCAGTTACAGCACCCTAAACTTTGTAACACATTTCAGTGGTGATGTGGCTGTGATGTCACTAAAGGTCAAACTATAAAGGGCAAAAAAAGGAAAGAAAAAAACCCCCCACATTACCACCATGAAGTGAAAGCGTTCCTATGTTACCCTCAGTCACATGTTAGTTTAAATGAGCTGGCACTCAGCTACCAAAGCCCCGCCGTAGATAATGTGAAAGTGAGAAATCGCGTCTGTTTGGGCCCTGGCAGTGGTGGCTTTGAAAACTGTAAATGTAACTGCTTCTAGCTGAATCGTATCATCTACAGCAGAAAAAACAAACACTTTTTAAAACTGTATTCATTCTCATATGGCAATAAATGTCTGAGCAGTCAGGCTGTTAGTCACCTGTGGGTACTACCACAACAAATTAGTGTTCACTTGAAACACCACAGCAGATTAGAGCTTAGTTTTTGCTCAGGGGCACTTCAGCATTAGCAGTTGACTGTTGTCCTTGTTTTGACTGGCAAGTATGCAGTTTATGAGGATATCAAGCCCACCAGGCTGTTTTAATGCATGCAGAGAATACTAAGGTTATAAAATCCAGGCAGTTATTTACAGTAAGTCAGCTTATCGTGTAGAAAACACGGATTCATTACGCAAAGTGCAAAGTATTTTTTTTTTAATATATATTTATTCAGCAAATTTAGCTTTTATGTAACAGCACAGGCTGCAAAGCTCTGTTGGTTCAGCTCACACCTTTCCATACAGCCATGTCCACCTGCCTGTGGTGATCCTGACTGTGTCATTTCTGTGGCTTAACCTGTAACAAGACTTAATAATGCAGAAAAAGCAGACATCATGGCCCAAAGCTCTCCCAATCACGTGCTTAGAAACACAGAAGCAGGCCTGGCGTGAGTCCTTGAATTTGCTCAGCTACCATTGGATAATCACTGTCTGAGACCAGGCTTAAGTGGTCCAGTCTGGGTCCCATGATGGGTTGGAGTAAGAGTTATTGATAACATAAGCCCATCACATATCAGTGATTTTCTTTTAACAATGCATTAACAATTTCTTTAGCAGAGAAACAGCAGAAGGAGGTGTGGAGTTCACGGCTGCAGAAGTGGCTGTACGAGCGCTTCGGGGTTTACATGGAAGACTTCCGCTTCCAGCCGGAGGAAAGCACAGTGGAGGCTGAGGAACCGCTAAGTGCTAAAAGGTGGGTGAGATGTGGTCCTGAGCAGAACATAACTCCTCGGGTTATTGAAGAAGATGTGGAATTGGAGCGCCCAGCGAGCATAAAAGCTTCGGTCTCGGTGGACGAGACCACTGAGGAGGAGAAGAGAAAAATGTGTGTTTAATAATAACATTTAAAAAAAGGTCAAACTCTGTCGCATGTACCCTCACCCTGTAGCTGTCTCTGGTTTGATTTTGCACAGAGGAAGTGGGGTTTTTTTCTCATCGTACTTATTTTCTCTCCTCCTCTGTACAGAACAGTGAGTCATTACAGACGGATGAAGGCCAAAGTGTTAACACTTCCCCTCTCACATAAAGCAGCATTTATTTTTTTGCGTGTATGTCAGCATCTACGTGTAATCTGACCTTCACTTTCTTTTGTTTTCCATCCAGGTTGACAGAAAACATGAGGCGACTCAGTGAGTATAAGCTTTTACTTGGCATCCTCTACATAATAATGATAATAATAATAGTAATGATATCACTAACACACATTCATGCAATACTCCAGTTCTGTGTATTGTAGAGCTAATTTTTTTCTCCTTTTGAACATTTCGACATGTAGTCAAATATAAAAGTCCTGGAAAATTTCACAGTAAAAGCCTGATTCACAAAGATAAACACATTGCTGCTCTGTCTTTAGCTTTACACTCCCAGTGAATCCCTGTCTTTGCTGTTTCAGAGCGAGGAGCCAGACCTGTCACCAACTTCTTAAGGAACCTCTCCGCCTTATCTAATTGGCACTCCGTGTACACCTCAGCTATTGCCTTCATTGTGAGTCTCTGCTTTCTTACACTTCAGACATGTGAATTAATGTTTTCACTTTGTCTAATAATCGCGCTTCGATATTCTCTAAAAGAAAACTTGAGGTTAGTTGTGACACAGGATTACCTGCCATAAACTGCTGATGCATTAACAGCTGTGCTGCTTCTGTCATCTGCCGTCTCTGTCACTTTGACACATTGCACTACATTTTCATTTACATTTTATTTGACGACAGTTGCGACTTTTTCCTCTTTTCTCTAAATCTAATCAACGGTGAGACTTCATAGAGGATGCAGGGCAATTGTGATGAGAGAGAGGAAATTGATGAAGTTAAATGAAGTCTCTAAAATCAACCAAACTGAAAAAGGAGTCCGATGATAATTTTGGACAGCGGGTGCGACCCTTTTAATAGAAAAGAGTCGTATCTGTAGTTTTACTCTGACCTAATTGTCTTACAGCTCGTGGCCGGGAGATTAAATGAATATTAAAGTCATGTCTGCTTCACTGTGATGAGTTGCAGTGATTCTGCCAGCGACTGCAGGCCTAATCAGATCTTCATTAATGTCCAGTCAGTGGTTATGCTAAATCATCCTCAACCCACTGATTATGGCCCTACACCATCTCAGTATCCAGACGTGTTGACAGGTGACTCAGCGTCTTCCACTGCTGATATATCACCCAAGTTTATGCGCTTCAGGCTTACAATGAGCCCCCCTGATTCCTCTTTATGTCCATCTTATAATTCATTGCTGTTATTGACTGAAAGAATGTGTCCTCGCTGCTATAAAGTGATGAATTTAATGCATATCGGTTGTTTATTAAAGAACAACAAACCACGTTAACCTGTGTATATATTGTCCTTTTTTCCCCCTTTTGAATCCAGATTTACATGAATGCTGCTTGGCATGGCTGGGCCATTCCCATGTTCCTCTTCCTGGCTATCCTACGCTTGTCCTTAAATTACCTCATTGCCAGGTAAAAACGGTCATTTATTCATAAAAGCAGGATCATTTTTGCCTCAGCTGTTGCTTCACGGTCGAGCTCGATTGTTTGTAAAAGGCTACAGTCCGATTTTCAGCTTTTAGCGTGATTAATTGTGCAAAAAAACCCACATTAACATCAACTACTGAGGCCACAGCTGTGCTGGTAGTAAACAGATGCACACCGCGGCCCTTAGTCACACAGCAAATGTTTGTTAAAACCGCCAGATTTTAAAAACATGCACACATTTGTGCATATTTGGGGTTGTTGTAATTGTCGCTACAAAAGAGCAGTACACGATAACAGACAGGGTCAGAGCTGATTTCAATCAGAGCTCCCAAGGCTGGAAAAGTCGGTCCTTTAAAGTTGTTTTGCATTGAAGGAATAGTTGCCTTATAACATGTGCATTATTTATACCTTCTATTTTTCAGAGGTTGGAGGATCCAGTGGAGCATTGTGCCTGAGGTCTCTGAACCCATGGTAAGATGCCTTCCTGCTGTTGTTGTTGTGCAGGTCAGAATGAAGTGTATCCATGACTGGAGATCAACGTGTGGCTTTTGTGTGTGTGTGTGTTGTTAAAGGAGCCTCCAAAGGAAGACTTGACTGTGTCTGAGAAGTTTCAGCTTGTACTTGACGTTGCACAAAAAGCACAGGTATAACGAGGTTCATCTAACGATCCAACCGCTGCTCGAAACAAGACAAACTCTTTAATGAGGTGCTTTTAAATCTCTTTCAGAACCTCTTTGGAAAGATGGCTGATGTTTTAGAGAAGATAAAGAAGTGAGTGGTTTTGTTTCAGCCTGACAATCAAGCGTGCAAGAAATGCACATAACTTGTATACTGATGTGTATTCGGTCCTCCTCCTGCTGTCTGTGTTTCAGTCTGTTCATGTGGGTGCAGCCAGAGAGCACCCAGAAACTTTACGTCTGCCTGTGGGTGACTTTCATCACCTCCTGCGTCCTGCCGTACAAACTGCTGGGCTTCATGATTGGTGAGTGATGTTCACAAAGCATCTTTTTCATTGTGACAGAACGTGAACTCAGTCACAAACAGATGCAGAACCTGTGGAGCCGTCCTCCCTCAGCCTGTGTGGGGAAGCTGCAGGCTATTGGCATCTTATACATAATTACTACTTTTATTTTGCAAAGCGTCTCCCAAACCACTATGCACTCAGACTTTCTTGAAAGGTGCTCGGAGCAAACTGTTGGCATAGAAACTGCTGTCATTTAGCCAAATTTCCATCTAGCACTTTATTTCTTCATTTAAAAGGAGCGAATAACCAAAATCAATGTATGCTTAAAAGCTGCACTGGACATTTAAACAAAGTAAATATACTGACATTGATTATTTCAGATCCCATCTAAGATTTCTTCAGTGACTTATTTCAATTGGAGAAACAAAACAGACCACACGTTCAGCGTGACTGAAAGCTAACCACATTTGGAGACAAAATTAGAGGCAAGGCTGAGATGGTTTGGACATGTGCAGAGAAGGGAGAAAGAATATATTGGACAAAGGATGCTGAGGATGGAGCTGCCAGGCAGGGAGATGAGAGGATGACCTCAGAGGAGGTTCATGGGTGAAGGAGGACATGCAGAGGAGGACGGGGTGAGATGGAGGCAGATGATCTAATGGGAGCAGCTGAAAGAAGAAGACAGCTAGCTGAGCACATTGTTACATTGTGAACATGGAACGGAAAAATGTGACAGAGTGCAGAGGAAACCAGTCACAAAGTGACATCGGCAGGCTGTATTGCACCCATCATGGGGAAGATCCCCACATAGTCTGTACGTGCAGAGCCACTGCTTTCTGTAGTATGTGTGACTCTGGTTGTGGGTAATTGATACCAACAGGGAAAACGATAAGGAACCTGGGAACACACGGCAGCTGCATGACAGGCTCCAAATACAAAACAATTATAATAAAAACGTTCCCCCAAAGAGA